TGTGTGCGTGTGTGTGCGTGCGTGCGTGCGTATGTGTGTGTGTGTATGTGTGTCCGTGTGTGTGTGTGTTGTGTGGGTTTCCTGTGGTGGTATGTTGCAGTTGCTGTGTGTAGACGACCCCGAGGTGCAGGATATTATTCTTTGCATCTGTGAGTTCTGGTGGGAATCTAATCTGGATGGCCGCGAAAAATTGGTAGGTGCTTTGTTTTTTACCTTCGGATCTGAATGTTGAAATGTGTTTCTGTTCTTTGTTCTTTATTTGTTTGACTTGGGACAATTTCTCGTTTTCAGCCTGTCATCCTTGCATACTCCCTTTTTTGTTCTCTATTTTTTTTACACAGGTGGGGTGCAAAAAAAATGATGTCTTGATTTATTCATGTCATCCTTGGACATCCATATAATCTGACACGGTCTCACCCAGATTGCGCGACAGTGCAGATCCCATCGCTTGATCCCTGGACCTATCCGTACCCCTGTACAGCTACTCGTAGACCCCGTGAGCCTCGAACCCGCGACCTGTCCCTAAGAAATCATAGGTCAGTGATTCGTTCGTTAGTTGGGTCGTCGGGACTTGAACCAAGGTCCTTAGGAATAGTCGTCTTAGGAGTCAGTCTATCGGTCTAGCCTAGGTCCTTCCAGACGACAGTTGACCGTAACTGAGTCAGCAAGGGAGAAGTAGCGCTAAGGCCTAGGGAAGGGTCAGTCTACCTAGCTAGGAGTTTCTAGAAGCCGTTAATTGACTCTTCCGGACTGTAGGGGTCAGTCAGTAAGTCTACCTAGTCCACTAAGCAGTCGCCAATCCCAGTCCACCTTCTCCAGTCAGCAAGTACCAGGCGGGAGTGTGCACACTTCGGGCCTGGGACCGGTGGCAGGCCAGACCACCAATGAAACAGTATAAATCAAGAGGCAGCGCTCAGCCATTCATTCATTCGCCTGTGAGCCATGAAGAAGCGCTGCTGAAACGACTTGTGCGTTGGAGGTCTGCAGGAGCCCGAAGGAGAAGTGGGCAGCGGCCATGGCCGCTAGAGGAGGAGGAAGATGACGGTGGCCATAACCGCCAGCTTGTTGACGACAACAGTATGTTTGTGTGCACGTGGACATTCAGGGTAGATCCTAGTGTGTGTTTGCGTGCATGTGAGCGTTAGTGTATCTGATGGTGGATACAGTATCGAGTGGGAATATAGACTGACGCTCAGACGCCATAGCCGCAAGATAAGACAAGTTGACTTCAGCTGAGGTCGGGCTGGAGGCCATATCTCTGAGTTTTCTGTGTGGGCGCTGTGCACCATCTCACTCTTGTTGCTGATTCTACCTTGCGAAGTTTCTTCTGCCATCGGCACCTGTATGCATGCATGTTGTAAGAGAAGTTGAAGAAGAGTCTGATTTCACTGGTATCAGAGCTGGTTCCCGTTTCCGCCCCATCACACCTGTCGCCGCGGCGAAGAAAAGACCGCCGGCGAGAAGAAGTAGACGAGGAGAAAGAAGATAGTCCGCCATAGCGGACGGCAACCATAGCCGCCAAGCTCAGAGAAAGAAGGACGGCAAGCTCGGAGAAAGAAGATATTCCACCATAGCGGACTGCAACCACAGCCGCCAAGCTCAGAGAAAGAAGGACGCCAAGCTTGGAGAAAGAAGATAGTCTGCCATAGCGCACGGCAACCATAGCCGCCAAACTCAGAGAAAGAAGAAGACAAGTTGGACGAAGGAGTAGACGAGAGAGAGAGAGAGAGAGAGAGAGAGAGAGAGAGAGAGAGAGAGAGAGAGAGAGAGAGAGAGAGAGAGAGAGAGAGAGAGAGGGGTGACGAAGTTGAGGGAAGCCATAGCCGACCAAGAGGAGAGAGAATTCGGCCATAGCAGAGCTTAAGGATGAAGGAGAAGGAGAGCGAACATTGCTGCTCTGACTTCACAATCCGAAACCTGAACCCATAGCACTCTGGGAGAAACATACAAATATTGGCAAAGCCTTCCTATTAATGCATACTTTTCAGCCTTTTGGCTGAGAGCAAGTGGAGCATCCGAACTGATAAGTTTACCGTATGATCTGTGGTCGGCCCACATGAGACTAAATCGAAAAATGCAATTTATTTGCACGAGTTAGAATGAATTCCTGCCTTCTCTGGGATACCAGCCGGGCCGCCAGGGTCACCTTGTTTGACTGGACAGCCCGGCCATGCAAGGACTACGTAAGAGCCCAGCAAAAGAAAAAGAAAAAAAAAATCAAAAAAGTGATAAAAATCTGAAAAAAAACTATGTGATGCAGAAAAATAAACTGAACAACTTTTGGCCCAGGGTCACATCGAAATTCTCTACCAAATTTAAGATAAAAATAAACATAATAAAATAAGAGCAACAAGTGGACCCGCCGCGGCTCCGCCCGCGGCGAGAAGAGGTCCCCCTCCCCCTTCTCGACTCCCATCCCGACTTCTCCCCCTCCCCATTTCGACCTCTTCTCCGAACCTCTCCCCTCAGATGTTATGGACATGTTGGTGTGTATGTGTGCCAAAAAAAAAAAAAAAAAAAAAAAAATCAACCTCCCTTCTCCCTTTCCTCTTTTCCTTCCTCTGACGCCCTTTCCCTTCCCGACTCCCATCCCGACCTCTCCCCCTTCCCATCCCGACCTCTCCCCCCTTCCCGTATCCCGACTCTGATCCCGACCTCCCATCCTTCGCCAACCTTTCCCTTCATTGCCTCTCCCTCTCCCCTATCCCAACCAGTATCCCCCCTCCTCTATCCCGGGATGGTCCCCCTCCCCCTTCCTGACTCCCATACCGACCTCTCCCCCTGCCCATCTCGACCTCTTCTGCCAACCTCTCCCCCCTTGCCTTCTTTCGCCTACCTCTTCCTCCATCGTCTCTCCGTCTCCCGTATCCTGATTCCTCTCTTTCTTTCCTGTCTTCCAGCGTCTCCCCCTCATCGCGTCTATCTTTCCCCTATCGCGAGCCCGACTCCCATCCCGACCTCCCATCCCAACACCTTCCCCCTTTCCTCTATCATCTCTACCTTTCCCCTATCCCGACCTCGGACCCCCTTCCCCTTCCCGACTCCGATCCCGACCACTTCCCCTCCCCATCCCGACGTCTCCAGCCTTTCCCGTGTCCCGACTTCCATCCCTCCCTCCTCCCGACTCCCATCCCGACCTCTCCCCCTCCCCATCCCGACCATATCCCGACTCCCATCCCGATCTCTCCCCCTTCCCATCCATCGCCTCC